CCACTTAGGCATGTACACAAAATATGGTGAAACAGGCTAAAGACACACCCATATGTGATACAGGACTCCCACCATTAAGTTTCTACCTTCTATGTATGAACAACATGTCCACATTGATGGCCTTAATATTCCTCTTTCTTATTTATATACCAAACTATCAAAATAGCCAATGAGTAACAAAAAATATAAACTTTTCTATTACTTTTTGAGTAGTCACAGGTAACAGGTAAGGAGAAAGATCCCAGCTGATGTTTGGATCCCAAGATGTGGGTTCAGATTGCCTTCAGGCAGCTTAACTCTTGGGCCCTGGGCCCTGCGTTTCCCCACCTAGAAAGTGCTTCTCTATAAAATAGTTATACTGGAGGGCATCGTGGCAGGAGGATCTCTGGGAGTCCAAGGCCAGTCTAGTATACAATGCGAGTTCCAGGATAGCCAGGGCTGTTACACAAAGAAAGCCTGTCTCAAACAAAACAAAACCCCCCAAATCTAAATCTTAAAACTTCTCAAAATCTGAATAAAATAACATATAAAGGAAGAAAATCCTAGAAGGGTGTGGCACACAAGTGCTCAAGCAGTAACAACACTGCAACAATTTCAGAATGTCATAAAAGGAGTGGATCAACTCTCCATGCATGTTTTAGAAAAGGATGTTCCACATTGTCATTTACCCATGTAAATCCTGGACTAGATGAGAAAAGTCTCCAGGGGATCAGTAATGTAGATTGGACCTGCAGCGGTCCTGTGTGAGTCGGGGAAAGGTGAGTTAAAGAATGCTGCTAGCTTGCATATTCTAGTGCTCTGAGGGAATTAATCTTCTGTGACAATTCGATTCCAATTCTGAAAAATACCTCACAATAAAAGAAATGGGATATATTATACAATGTCATGTGAAACGGTACTTGAGAAGGATGGAGAGATGGTTCAGCAGTTAAGAAGCGCACTTGCTGCTTTTGCAGAGGATCCAGGTTCAAGTCCCAGCACCCATACCGGGCAGCTCATAATTTTCTGTAGATCCAGTTCTAGAACACCTGACATCTCTTCTGAAGGCACTGGTACACACTGGTGCGTATAATAAATACATGCATTTGTGTGCACGCACTTATGCACAGAAACAATTTTAAAAATAATCAATCTCTAAAAAATACTATTTTAAATGAAATAAAAACAATTTTGGATAAACAAAAAGTTACTGTACAAATGACTATTAATCTAAGGCAACTATGTTTTGGTATACTCTGCTTTTTTTTATGAATGAAAGGCAGGTAAAATATGGAAGGCACTATTTAAAACAGGACACTCCAGAGGTATTTATAGGACAGTTTTTTTTCATCTTCTACAACAGAAAGACTGCTATTATAATCAGGTTTTCTAGTGACACTCCACTGTAAATACCTTTCAAGCCCCCCATTAACTAAGCTACTGGAGTATCGGTTCATTAGAATTCAATAATTAATAAGTTCGATCTTTTGGATATTTTGAATAATATCATTTTGCTACAATGAAAGAAATCAATGATACAAACTCTGTAATGACAGAGGCTTTATTTTGTTCTGTACTGTTATTTATAGAACCTATAGAATGTTCCTGAAACACCAATGACACCTAGTCAATACTTGTTGAATGAACAGTATGAAGAGCTACTATTCCTTATATGCCATTTTCCGAGGCAAGTCACCTGCTTTTTGTTCAGTTCTTACTTAACTAGAAGTCATCTGAAACTCGGGCTTTGGCTCCCCAGCCCGTTAGCTAGATGCTTGCCTTCCCACTGGCATGGATTTCGTGGGCTTCAGCTAAGATGATGGAAATGAAGATATTCTGTGAGTTATAAGATGCACATATCTGACCGTGATAAGTTCTTTGTGCGACGAGGAAATAAATACATTTAGAGTAAATTAAAGAGCAATCATTTGAAACTGGCTGAATTATGAAAGACTGCAAAAACCCTTTACACTCTCTTTAAACATGTTCAGAATGTATTTGATTTCACCAGTCTTTTTATAACTGAAACTTTGTAGTATTCCCCCCCCACAACTGATAGCGCAGCTGCTACTGACCGACACATACAATCTACAATCAGGATCTAACCTTTCCTTGGTAATAATGTATATAAAAACTGGAGCTGAGCTTGAAACCACAAGGCTTGGGTTTCAGTTTCAGCTAGTTCACCCAACCATAACAAAGCATTCACATTGTCGAACTATCTACGGTTTTCTGGGAATTTACTGTATGCAGCACTTTTTGAAGCTGTTCATGTGTTTCCACTCAGTTAATTCTCACAGCAGCTCACGCTTTAGACAAGGAAACCAGCACCGAGAGGTCAGGCCACACCCCCAGGTCACACAGTATGTGGAGGCTGCGCAGGGACTCTGTCAGGTGGCCGGCTTCTAGCAGAACTTGTCGCGAGCCATAAAACATCCCTAGGTTTAGAGGCCTCAACTTCCTTCAGAAGGTTCTCTGTAGGACCCACTTATACATATAAAGCTACCGACAGTCGAGAACTATATAATTAATACTAAAGACAAAAGTCTGGGCAGGTGAGACAGCTCATCTTGTAAAGGCTTTGCTGCCAGCCAATCCAGGTTCAGCGTGGAAGAAGAGAGGCAATTCCCACGAGTTGTCCTCTGGCTTCCACATGCACACCAGGGCATCCATGTGTGCACATGCAATAAAGTAAATGGATGAAAACATCAAAAAGCTCAAAGAGTCCCCTTTCCTTAAACAAGCTAAATAAAAGTACGCATGCACACACACTCACACACACACTACTTTTTAAAAGCCAGTTCAAATTGTCAATTACACTGCTCTGCTACTTTCATTTGGAGAGTGGGGAACACAGAACAGGGGGCGGGGAGGCCAGTATAAAAGCCCAGTATAAAAAGGCAGCAGCGCGCCACAGTGGGATCAGTTCAAAAGACTTGAGTATAAAGATTCAGTGCAGGAAAGACTTTTACATAAGCTCCCTGAATACTAAGAAGAAAGTTATGAAACATCTGAGAGTTAATACCAAAAGATCAATGGATTAAATGTTATCTAAATATATTTCAATGCAACAGAACCTTATGTAATCTCAATGGGACTTCTGATTTTGGCAAGGGTTTTCAAGCTTTCTTTTTCTGTCGATGGGGAGAAGTTTGGTAGTGTGTGGGCCAACTGCAGACTGGATTTTTTTTTCTAATAGTATTTGTGTCATTTTAAGAAACATGAAAAATTACAGCAAGGGATTTTTTTATTATCAATGTTGACAGTACCATTAATAACTATAGTTGGACAATTATAAATGCATTTTAAATGTTTACCTAGCTAACTCACCAACTTCAAAAAAGTCAACTCTGACAAACTGTACGGGCAGATTTGCGAGGCTAGAAGCTAGCAAACTGTGGTGGGTTGTTTGTTTTGAAGGCCAGGAATGCACAGAAGCATGCCAGGCAAGCATCTACCCTGAGCTATACGCCTACTCTTATTAATGCCCATAAATTATGAAACCTACAAATTTGCCATCTACCAACTAAGATACATTTTGTCTGTTTCCCCCTTTATCTCAGACAAAGAATTCAAAAGATACAAGTTACTATTCTCCTTAGTAGCATTGAGATACATATACAGGTATAGAATTACTGATTTTTGACAAGCCCACAAACAAGAAAAAAAAACTAATAAACCAATAAGCTAAGAAAGCAAAAGGCAAGAGACCTGAGTTCTAGTCCTGCAAAAGTGTGGTTACATAGCTTGTGGGCAATCTTCCATGCAGTCTGTGAAATTTGGGAACAAGAGTTCGGCATTCACAGCTTTTTCTATTAAAGATAACATCATGGTCTAAGCCCTAGAATCAATACTGGGCACAGGATGTTAAGTTAGTTCCTACTTAGGAAATGTACTTACTATTCTCCCATAATAGGACCTGAATTAACTTAAATGAGATCAAATAACTACCTCAGATGCTAGAGGCAAATACTGCTTCAAGTTTCATTCTCAACTGTATACAGATAACAAAAACCCTTCACTGGAAATGTACATTAAAATTTCTGTTAGATGAACTATAGAGACGGGCGAACCCTGGGTCAACACACAAAAGTGGAGGGTCTGTGCTGCTTATACAAGTCACCTACACACCAAGGTGCCTGTGGACAAGTCACCTGCCCTAGTTCTGCTTCCTCATTAAGGTCAGAGCACAGCCTGTTACTGGATGGTTGGGATAGGTGAGGCTAGCTTCCCCACTCAACTTTATTCACCCAGCTGGCTAGAGCCATCTCCACCAGAACTGTCGCTTCCAAAGCTCTCTTTTGTTCTGTGTTTAGCTAGTTTATTAGCGCCTGCTCCTCATGAAGATACTGGCAGAAAATGAAACCGTGCCCCATTTGTGCTCTGAACTCCAGGGGTATGACTGAAGTTACTGTCACCTGCTGGACAGGACTCAAGGACTCACAAGATGATACTTTCTGTTACAAAGTTTATAACTTACCTAAAACCTAAATCAGTTCCTACTTCCAGTGTCACTGATTTCTTGGTGACTATTCCCATAAGTAATTTCTCCTATTCGGCAACAGACACAAAGCATGCCCAACAGCAGGTGACCAATGGTGATACTGTTAATATATAGGCCTGATTAGTTTTTCATGTAGGAGGCTGTGAGTCTAGGAACTGTTAACAGCATCCTTGGTAGGGTTACTAGAAGTCTGTACTGACACGACCCCCACAAGGGGTGCCAACCCAAAGGTGTCTCTGGATGTTTATCTCTGGACGCTTTTCTAGATAAGGTCCCCTGATGTAAAATACCCAGGAGGTAAGTCTCCGCAACGCCCCCCCACCCCCCCATCCTGGTCCGGTAGAGAATAACCGAATTCAAATATCTAAAGAGGAACTCTTGGTTTTACTAAGTTTGCATGACCCTTTTTCGCAGCCTAAAGCCATCTTAAGACAAACGTTAACCAGGAGCAGGACAAAGCTACTGCTTCTTGGAGACGAAAATATAAACAAAAGACCGACAAAGCTTCCCTTCACAGGTCTACTGTGAGTTAGGCAAACTCTTGATGGGAGGCTACCTCTCCACCAACACCAGGGGTACGTGGGAGCACACCCAGAGTCTATGGAAGCTGGATCTGTGATAGGCAGGTGGCGGTTCCAGGAGCAAGCGACCGTGCAGGCGCTATCAGGTAAGAGTTGACTGATCACCTCGGGGGCAGCCGGCCACCAACTCCGGGCCCGGCCTCCGCTGGGCCTCTGGGTGCCGGTGCCCGCGCCGAGCTCCCGCCACGCCCACCGAACGTCACCCGTTACACAACGCCCCCCCACCCAGCTTATGCAATTCTGCCCTCCCGCGGCTTCCAATTGCCCCAGTGACTTTAGTGTAAGACCAAGGTAAACGCGGTACCCCCGAGCCCCGCCTCGTCCGGGAGATGCTTGCCCCACCCCGGCTGGGGTTCCCGGACATCGCGCAGCTGGAAGCCCGCGGCCCCCACCCACCCGTCCACCCCGCGCCCAGGCTCCGCGGCCCGGGTCCCCGCTCGGCGCGCGCGCACGAAAGAAACTCGCGTCCGCGC